GTGTCGCTTCCTGTCAAACTGGAGGCGCCATCGACGAAAATTATCCATCAGTGTACCTCATCCGGGGGTGTGGGCGAGGTCATTTCAGCCATAAATTCATTCAGTGCTTGAGCTTTTAGGGCTTTTCTTCCTTCCTATTGGATGTTAAACTCGTATAGTTCTAACGATCATTTCAACACCAGGACCGCCATGTCAGGCCTACCGAGTAGCTACTTTATTGGTTGATCTGTTCAGACGACTGTGATATGCGCCAAGAAATATTGTTAAAGTCTCCTCGCTGCATTGATGAGGGCTAGGGCCACCTTTTCAATTTGCTGATATCTCACTTCGAGGCTCTGCAAGGCCTTGCTCGTAAAGTAGATAGGCCTCTGTCCTTATGGGGTTTCTCTAATTAGTGTTGCGCTTATTGCCTCGGGGGTGACGACTAGATAGAGATAGAGGATTTCATCCTTGTCTGGTCGAGAAAGGACGGGCGGTTGTGATAGTAATTGCTTCAAATGGATGAGAGCTTTCTTGCATTCGGCCATCCATTCGAAGGCAGCTTCCTTGCGGAGGAGTTTGAAGAGGGGGGCGCGTGCTGGGCAGATTTTGCCATGAACCGAGAGAGAAAAGTGAGCATGTCGTTCAGGATTTGAATGGAATTTTTTGAAATGGGCGTTGGAAACTCAGAAAATGCTCGGCATTTGTCGGGGTTTTCCTCAATCCCTCATTCTGTGAGGTAGAATCTGAGGAATTTTCCTGCTCGTACACCAAAGGTGCATTTTTCTAGGTTAAATCGCATCTGGAACTTTCTGGCCTACTCGGAAATTTTCTTCAAGTGGAGGGTGTGGTTGATTTCTTCCGTCGATTTGACGATCATGTCGTTCAAGTAGACTTTAAGCATGTCACCTATTTCGTTGCAGAAGACTTTGTTCATCACGCGCTGATATGTAGCACCCACATTTTTCAGGCTGAAGGATATTACATTGTAGTAATAGTTATCCCTTGATTTCAGTTGAAAATCGATGTGAATAAGCTTTTTTATTTTTAAAAAAATTACATTGTTTACACAGAAAAAAATATTAAAATACATTGATTACAACAGATCCATATTCATTATCGTCGCTTTTATTCCTGAAGAACAACAAATCTTTATTGTAATTCAGATTTTATTGCATACCTTTTGTGCACATTCTTTTAAAGTTTTATGGTTTACATGAATCCAACTTCTAATAAGTTATTCAATGTTGATCTCTCTTCCTTATTTAACTTGAAGCAAAAACGTTTTTTCTGCACTTGCAATCCTTCATAGAGAACTTTTCCAAACTTCTTTAAGTTCCAAAATTTCATTATCTTAAGCAAATATTTTCATGGCAAAAAAGATTTTATAATTATGGATAAAAATAAAAGGAAAGGCATAAGAATATAGTGGTGGATGTAGATAGTTTATTATGGATTGATGTCTTGACAATATCTTGTTCTTTTATGAATGTAGGGTATAAATTTGTTGTTGTAGTTGTGTAACAAATCCTCTCGATTATGTTAAAAAATCGAGGGGAAATGTGTTTTCTTTTTTAGTTAAAAAAATAAAATAAAATAAGAAAATTCACAACTGAGGTAATAAGTTTCAAGCAAAAAAATGGTGAATGATAAAAAAAAATTAAAAGTAACATATCACGCTTCCATTACAATACCAGTCACCATTTTTATGTGCAATTTACGCCATGTTTAGGAATAAATTTTTCAATATTGTCAACCGACAAAAATAATGTTGTTTTCTTTGATTGACAATATAGAAGAGTTATTCCAAAAATACAACAGCAACATCAACACCATTACGTGAGATAAATTGCAAGATCGGAAAAATATTTTGTTCAAGATAGAACAGAAGATTTTTTCTGTTTTGCAATCCATCCCAAAGAATGATGCATACTAGTTTGGGACGACTACATATAAGTTAGGATTATGGTAAAATATGTTTAGTGAGTGCTTTTAGACTAAAATATGGTTATTTTATCCCTCAGGTTTTACGTAAACTAGAAGAATAGATATTTAGTTTACAATTAAAAAATAAAATAAAAAGAAAGATTCCACTTATAAAGAAATAAAAACATAAACGGCATAAGTTGGAATTTGAAGTATGTCCTGAATTGTTTTTCTCTCGGTTATATTAAAAATCGAGGGAATATGTGATTTTTATTTTTAAAACAAATAAAACATGGCGCGCCTTAGCATTATATCTTAGTTTTTTGTTGGCTGAAATGAAAGCTTTATCATTAAATATATTATTCGTAGTGGTGATTGCATATGTATATATTATCGTGGAATGGATGTGATATTATGATGATGTTGATTGGGTATATAATGTATGATATGTTGTATATTTATCTACGCTTGCATTTTTTACAGTTTTATATCGAAGTTTATTTCTCACCACATTTACTTAATGTTGTCTAGCATGGACGTCTTGTAGATAATCAAGAGTTGAGTTTTATTGTCGTGAGTGGAAGATAGCTTGTTCGAGCTTACCTTCATTTGTTTATTGTTTATCGCATTTTAGTGGCTTTAGTGTTCTGATCTTGTAACATCGGAGACATGGTGTTTTTTTACGTTTTGAGTAAATGTTGAATTATGTTGCTTAAAGCTTGATACTTTATTTGAGAAGTTTTAAATTGAAAATGTTATGATGTGATTTTCGGTTGCATGATGATAAATGTGTTGAAAGTCTTTGATGGTTGTCGTGGTGATACTTTAAATTGTCGATCAAATCTTTTTATATAAGTTTTGGGGTTTAGGATATTACACAAAGATCATTTAAATATGGTATAAATATCATTCATAGTATCTAGTATAAAGACAAGAGAATACAATGATGGTAATTTGACCACTTAAAATAATTTTTCAAACAAGAGAAATTCAAATAATTCTCCAAAGAGAATCCAAAAATAATACTTTTATAATTTCTCAACTCAAATAAAGAGAAATTAAAATAATTCTTTAAAGAAAATTCAAAAAATATACGAAAAAAATGTAAAGAATAGAAAGAAAGAAGGAGAAGTTGAGGTTTCGATAATTCAAAAAATACATAATATAGAATAAAAAATAAAAAACTCTAAATAAGTTTTTAATATATTTTAAAATGAAACATGTGAATTCCTTAAATAAAAAATAAACTAATCAAAAAATAAAAATTACTAGGACTTACAGAATTTTTTCAATTATTTTGATGGACTTTTTATTCTAATTTTTTTAATTATACTCAAATTTCTTGCAATTTCTTTTTTGCAGATTTTCTATTTTCTATTTTTATTAACAAATTGAATTTAATAAAGATTTGTGTGAGAATTATGTAGGAAAATTGAGTATAATTAAAAATAAAATAAAAAGTCTTGTTAAAGCAATTGGCATGCTCACTTTAAAATTATTATTTTGTTTAAAAGTGTGATAATTTGAAAATTAAATTAAAAAAGATGGTATAATACTAATATAAAAAAGCTATGGTAATTTGATAATTAAATTGGAAAGAGTGGCATAATAGAAATATAGTTGGAAAAAAAGGATAATAATTGGGTAAAAAAATTGTGTGATATTTTTGTGTGTATAGAAATAAAATGAGAAAATGAAAAATTTGAATTATGTTGACAACATTACTAGTTTGTTTGCATGAAGGACATGTGTAATATAGGACAATATTATGACGAACCACCACATTGATAACGAGGTGGATGCTTTATCTTGGGATTCTCCGTTCCTCTCTCTGCAATTACAGAACTGGTTGGTGCTGTGGTGTGGTGTGGTGTGGTGTCTAGCAAAACGACAAACTCCATAGCTACTTGTACATGCTAGTATTACTAACCGTCGGTACATGCAATATATTTTCATTTTCTTTTTTTACTAATTAAAACTCAACTAGTAATGTTTTTTATTACTATATTACTTGGAAAAAAAATTTAAAAGGAATAAATCTATGGGTAAACTCCCAATTTCAAAAAATAAAAGTCATCAAAGCACACAAATTCAACGTTTTCAAAAATTCAAAAGAATAAATATATGGATAAACTCAATTTCAATTTTTTTAAAACAATAAAAATAAAAGTTATGTAAATTCAATCAAAATAACTAAGTTTTCAACAAACAAAAAACGCAAATAATCAAGTTTCCTTACAAATTTCTAATGTCGTTAATTCAATGCAAGAAGTAAGTGTATGTAACAATTCATATAGCCAATTTTTATTTTATTTAATTAGTGGGAAACTTTGTTATTTAGGAAACTTTTTTTGAAAAATTTAGTTATTTTGAAAAAAAACTACAATAGTTAATAACCACACAAACATAATTCGAAGTGGCAAAACAGGTTCGATGGCTTAGATCTATCATAAAAATAAAAGTCATCTATAGCTAAGAGCCTTACCTATCCTAACAAAAAAATCTGCCTAGATCTACATGGATGGATAACAATTATTTAGATTAAAGAAAATTGAAGGAATAATATTAAATATTTTTCTAAAATATATATATGTACTTTATTTTAAAGTGGAACTCATAATATTCTCGTTAAACTAAATTTCCTTTTTATTTTATTGTTTTTTAATTTGTTTCATGTTTCCTAGATTTGTTTTTTTTTTCTTTCCTTCTTTTCAAAAATAAATTATTTAAATTTGTATCAGATTTATTTAAATTTTAAAATATTTAAATTAACCATAAAAAAATGAGAGAAATGTTTACTGAGAAATATAATTTATATAACTTTAATTCTCTATTTTAGTTAATTTAATTATTAATTTTCATGGACATTGTCCAAATCAGAAAATGAAAGATGAAAACAAAAATAATTAGCATAATCTGAAACCAGTTTTTTTTTTCAATTAAATTTAAACAAAAGAACCATAACAAATCTTAATCCTAAGAACTTTTCACATCTATCACCTACATTTCTAATCTTCCTTTTTTCCTCCTCCTAAATTTAACCCAACACTTTCTCAGATTTACATTTCCCACCCCAAAATCTCAAACGTCAAATCTTACATAGCTTGTAACGACTCAGACGGCCACAAAACATCCGCCGCCGGTTCAGTAAAATCAAACAACCCATCCCCAGTCACAAAATCCCCGGCACCGGTGTTTCCACCGTCAAGCTCCGGCAACAACCCGACACCAGAACCAAACCCGTCGTAGCCAGTAAAGTCGTCATCAAACCCCAAAAACCCAGTCAGGTCCACCTTCTCCGGTTCAGTCCTACCCGGTTCATCACCTGAAACCACTGTTGGAGGCAACCCAAGTTCATCATCAGAAGCCTCAAACAGGTAACCCAAATCATTCTGCATCTCGCCTAGACCGGTCAGCTGAACCGGGTCACTATGAACCGGGTCGATTTGAACCGGGTTGGTCTGAACCGGTTCAAAAGCAGGAGTGAGAATCTCTTCCTCGAAGCTCTTGATAACCGAGTCAAGACCCACCACCGAGTCACACTCAGTCTTGTCAGTAACATTCTCAACATCATTTTCAGCATCATCAAGTATATGAAAAAGATCATCTTGATGAAGCTGAACACCCGAGTCAAAAACCGAGTCAAGACACGACTCAAACGAGTTAACTCGTGTCAACTCGGACTCGGACTCGGACAAGTTAACATTATTAACATCAGAATCAGAGTTAACCTTCCGAATCTTAGCCTCAACCGAGTAACCAACAGAGTGAGTCTGAGAATCAAATGACTCGTTATGAACTCGCTTTCTCTTGTCGGTGGAAATCTCCATTGGAGAGAAAGAAAATGGAAAAAGAGAGTTTTAGAGAGAGAAAAAGAGAAGTGTTTGGGTGGGAGGAAAGAGAAAGGATGAAGGGTATATATAATGGTTGGAAAGTAAGATAGGGTTTGTCTAATTTAATTTCGTAAGGAAAGATAGTGACAGGCGCGTGCATTTCACACTATATAATAAAACAAACTTTATTCACGGATGTCTCGTTCTTTCTCAAACTTATTTTGAATATTATCAAGTTTTATTCAATACGCATCTATCATTTTTCTACGTATATGTTCCTCCTTTTCAAATTATACAAGTTTTTACCGCTTCACATCAATTTTAAATATTCTATAAAATAACTAAATTATTAATAAAACTTTTAAGAGAAAATAAATAACTAAATATAATGTTAATATTTTATTAGAAATATCAAATAAGTTATAATTTTAAGTATTCTAAGTCAATTGTATTGTTAAATATTACTTCCTTCTAGTCTTTTATATAATAAAAAAATCGATTTATTTAATAATTAATCTATTTGATATATTATAACTTTTAAAATTAATTTTTATAGTATTTATATATTTTTTACTATAAATAAATAATTAATTATTTATAAAAAATATTTTTATATTTTTTATATTCTTATATCAAAATTATAAAAACTCATTTAAATATTTAAAATTATTTTATAAAAGATTATTTTAAAACTTTTTTTTTAAATTTGAGATTTCGGCAGTGTTTAATCTTCAATAATATCTTATATTTAAGTTAGAGAAAATTAAAATTAATCTTTTAATTTATAAAAAAAACGTTAATATTTTGAAAACAAAATATTTCTGTAAAAATCATTTTTAAAGATATAGATACAAATTTATTTTTTTAAAATTAAATTAAACAAATACTCTGGATAAATTAAATATATTGATTATAAATAAATTTAAAAATATTTTTTTTAATAAAAGTGACTACGTACATTGAAATATCATTTTCATTATTAATAAAAACAAAAAATTAAAACATTGAATTAAAATTTATATAAATAATATGAATTAAGTGATATAATTAAAAAATGAATTTTATTATTGTATTTTAAATTGAAAAAAATCGCTTAATTTTAAATAAATTATTTTTATAAATGAATCGTTTGTTTGAAATAAGAATAAATATATTTTTAATTTTAACTATAATTTTGATCTATCAATCTTATCTTTGTTCATCAAATTAACATACGAGTATATTTTAAATTTAAACTATTTTAATCTTCTCATGCATATTTACTCTAAAAATAAATGATGTAACACATTTAAATACTCTGACATTTGTGAAAGTCACATTTCATCTTAGAAGAATCTTTATGAAACGTTAAAATCAACAAAATAAATGATATATTAAATTAAAAAATTGACTAAACTATGTACAAAAATCAAAAAATTTAAAATTTAAATTTGTAAAAATAAAAAATTAAATTTGTAATTAAATCTTAAGTAAATAATATTAAATATTAATTATTTTAAAATTAATTTTGTTTACACTAAATATCAATATTCAACAAAGCTTAAGGTGAAAGAATTTTTTCTGATTACTATGCTTTTTCTTTCCAAGTATGTTCAAAAGTTGCGTCGTGTCTAATAACGTACTAGTAAAGTTTAAACATCGACCTTTTTTTTTTCTATTTATAAAACTTTTCTTAACGTGACCGTGATTTATGCATAAGCTTAATTGAATATTTTCTTTTTTTTATCAATTATTTATATAAAGCTTTATAAAAGAAAATCATTTTTTACTATCTTAATAGTGTTTATTTGAAAATATTAAAAATCATTTTTAATTTTGAAATTAAAAGTTAAACTTTATCAAAATATTTTTTTAAAATAAAGAACTAAATTTTATACTATTAAATAAATGAATATTGGCTTCAAATTTTTTTAAAATAACTTTAAACAAAATTCTTAAATTTTAAAATAAAATATTATTTATAAACTTAAAATAAATGTACACTAATTCAAACATGTTGAAATATTAAATATAATATTAGATATAATTCAAGTTATATAATTTAAGCTCGAGCGCAAATAGAGTTGTATATAAATAATAATTTGTATCATTATTTGTACAATTCAAGTTAACAATATAATCATTATTTTTTTTTATTCTCTCTTTTTCTTCCTTCACTAAAAGTGTCTTACGCACTAACAAAATGGTATCTAGAGTTTCGGTTAGATTTTTTATCGTGTTTTCAAGAATCACACGTCAGAGATCGTATTTTCGAGATTGCGGGTTGTTCACTAGCAATTATTGTGAAGATGAATGGTAACAATAGTAATATAATTCTATTTTGACTCTTGACGGCAAGAATTGAATTCGATAGAGAAAACAGATGCAATCTCTGTTTGGATGAAACTTTAGAAGTGGTTACCGACGGCGTTCCTGCACTGGCTGCAAATCCAACCTACGTATAGAAACTCGTCCATAACAAAGCCAAGAAGAAGGATTGCAAGGTTGCATATTGTATTCAGACAGCGGTCGACGCGGTGAACTTCGACAGGATCTCTCATGCTGAATCGGCGAAGAAGACATAGAATATTCTTGTCAAGTACTATGAAGGAGGTGAGAAAGTCAAGGTTGTCAAGTTGCAGACCTTACGTCGACAATATGAATTGATGTTTATGGGAGAAGATGAAAAGATTACAGAGTATGTGTCGAAGGTGCAGAAACTCGTCCATCTCATGAAGGATTGTGGTGAAACCCTGACTGATAAGATGATAGTTGAGAAGGTAATGCGTATGTTGACCTCTCACTTTGATCACGTTATCGTAGCTATTTAAGAATCCAATCAACTTGAAACCCTAAACCTGGAAGATTTGGTTGGTTCGTTGGAAGCGCATGAGATTAGGATTGTCGAAAGGAAAGGAATTCAAGACTCTATACAAGCTCTACATGCTCAATCATGGAAAAAGAATGGTGGTTCTAACAAATTCAAAGGCAAGTTCGACAAGACTCGGGGCAAGAAGTCTTGGGCGAATCCCCACAAGAATAAGGTCGACGATAGGGCTTCTGAATCCTCAAAAGGAGGAGGATGAAACTACCAAAAGGATAAAGAAGATAAAAAAAAGGTGTACAGTGTTATAACTGTGAAAAGTGGGGTCACTTCGCCAAGAATTGTTGGTACAAGAAAGAGAAGGGATTGACAGGCAAGGATGAAGGAACGAACCTTGCACGCTAAGACTCAGATGATTCTCATGGTATGGTGGTTATGGATATAGTAGTAGATAACCATGTCGAATCCAAGATTTGGTTCCTCGAATTAGACTGCTCGAATAACACTAATGGTCAAAAGGTGCAGTTGGCATATTTCGACGAGTCGAAGAAGAGCAAAGTAAAACTTGCGGATAATAGTTCATTGCAAGCATAAGGTACTGGCAACATAGTTTTTAAAATGAGTAATTGAGGGAAATCTATGATCAAAGATGTGCTATATATACTTAGAATAAAGTGCAACCTGCTAAGTGTTGGATAACTGATCAAAAAAGGTTTCTCAGTTGTCATGAAAGATGGAGTTTTAAGATGTGCTATATGTACTTAGAATAAAGTGCAACCTATTAAGTGTTAGATAACATGCAGCATTGAGGTCAGTGAAATCAATGCACATGCACCATTTTTTGATGCCTTCCTTACCAATACATTGTTATCAAGACAATAGGGTATTTTACATCTGTTATAATATTAGGGCTTGTAAGCTTTGCACTTCATCAATAACCACTTTTTTCTCCTTGCCAACCTTATGTTTCCTTTGAGACAATGGTTTCACGATAAAATCAATGGTGAGAAGATGGAACACCACTCTTTTATCTATGCTTGGCATATCATAGGGTTCCCATGCAAACAAATCGATATTCCTCTTGGGTGGGGAAACCAACTATTTCTCTTTATATCTAGATATATAAGTGTCAAACCTGGTAACTTATTGGTCCAAGTGTCTAATATAAAATTCTTTCAGGTCTTTTATCGAAGTGATCCTTTCATTTTAGATCTCTAATCTAGAGTCTCATCTTGCTAAATTTGTGTCACGTGCTTCTGGATAGGGGCGACGCCCTGGGTGACATACTCCCTTCTTATTTCCAGGTTGTTCTTATAGCATTTTTGGGCGACCAAGATTGAACCAACTTTCCTGTCAGGTAACATGTATTTTAGGCTCAATTAAAGGGTGGATATGATTATCCCTAGTAAGTTAAGGGTAGGACTTCCTATGATGGTGTTGTATGGAGAGAAGGCATCCATAATGAGATACTTTACTTTAATCATTATGATGTTTGCCTTTGATCTGGACGTCATTTTAAGCATTTTGTGGTCATTCATTTGTACATGTTTGCCTAACATACCAACTAGAGAACCTTTAAATGCTCTAATGATGTCTTAGACGATTCAAAGCCCTCAAAAATCACTCTAGAATAATACATTTAATGAACTATTAGAGTCAATCAACACTCACTTCATATTCCGATTATCAAATTGCATTGTGACGATCATGGGATCATTATTGTAGGTAATCTTTGTTGCCTTATTAGGATGTTATGCAGGATCCTAATAAGGATTCCTTCCTGACTTATTAGGTTATTATGCTTGATATAGATAAAGAGTAAACGACGCCTCAATAGCCACTCACTTAAGTCCAATTAAGGAAACACTTCCACCTTGTCAAACGGCCTGACCTAAATCTTGATCAGGAACACACCTTAGGATTATGCCATATCAAGTGTCTTAGAAATACAAATAATAAAAGAGCCATACTGCTAAAAAATATTAAAAATACACCACATAAAGGTGCAAACATATTTATTGAAAAACCCGGATGAGCATTGTTACAAACTCGTCTATAATGGACGATAACAAATGTGAATGGTAAAAATACAAAAAGCCAAATTACAATAGGAAGCAAAAGTATAAGAGTTGGGTGGGGTGGATACAAGTGGTTCGCCCTCCTCTTGAATTATTCATTCCTCGTTGACAGGAGT